ACACTGATGCAAATAATGGGCCATCAGTTAGGCTAACTCAATTAATTAACACATTTTTTTATCAAGGATACAAGATTCCCCAACAACAGTATTCCGTCTGTTCTTCATCAAAATTACAAACTGCCACAGGCCATGGACATTTTGGGTCATTTGCCAATAGTCAAAATATACACTCTAAGGGTTTCTACTGACAAACAGCCCTGATTTCCTATGTATATGCTCAGGATGGTAATTTATCCTTTACATATATTCTTATTACACCCAAGAATAGCTTGTTGAGATTGATGATGCTGTTATTCTATTCCAAATGAGGATGGTAGTTGAACACATTGGCACATATCTATGATCCCAGCAATTCAGGAGGATGAGGCAGGAGGATTATAAATTCAAAGCCAGCCTCATCAAGCTAGCAAGACCCTGTCTCAAAAAAAAAAAAAAAAAAAAGGCTGGGAATGTGACTTAGTGGTAAAGCGCCTGGGGTTCAATTCTAGGCACCCCCCCCCCCAAAAAAGGAGAGAGAACTGTAGGAACAGACAGATTAAGTAACTTGATGAGCGTCACCTAATTACTATGTGGCAACGCATAGTTTTAAACCCAGGACTCTGACTTCTGTCAACTATCCAATGTCCTGCCTCTCCTATTCCCATGATTCACCCAGCAAATTCTCCAGCCCCAAAAGGATTACATTATTCCCATTCTTAAGAGCAAGAAATGTACCTCTCCGTGGCTGCAAAGTCAGTTTGAGGAGGGAAAACAGAACCCAGCTCTCAAGCCCTTGGTCAGCACTCTGTCCACTAGTGCATCTTGTTCTTTGGCTCCAGGTCTGTGATCATTCTAAAAAAGAATAAATCATTTTATGAAACACTGAATTCATACAAATACACATATAGCATGAAAAATTAAGGCAAATCAAAGACTGATTAAAATGGGGGAAAAAACAATAAATTTTTAATATGTAATGTCACTAAATGAACCATTCCACAAATGTCCATCAGGTCAATTACAAAACATTCACTTTTTTAAAAAAACATTTGTGGGGCTGGGGATGTGGCTCAAGCGGTAGCGCGCTCGCCTGGCATGCGTGCGGCCCGGGTTCGATCCTCAGCACCACATTCAAACAAAGATGTTGTGTCCGCCGAGAATTAAAAAATAGATATTAAAAAATTCTCTCTCTCTCTCTCTCTCTCTCCCCCCCCTCTTTCTTTAAAAAAAAAAAAAAATTTGTGGATATATAAAAGACTAAAGATTTGTAATTGTCTAAATAGTACTCTCAAGGGCAGACACAGAAGCACACACTTGTCATCCCAGTGACTTAGGAGGCTGAGGCAGGAAGATACAAGTTTGAGGCCAGCCTTGGCAACTTAGCAAGGCCCTGTTTCAAAAAATAAAAAGGGCTGGGGGCACAGCTTGGAAGCAGAATGCCACTGGGTTCAATCCCAGTACCTCCTGGCTAAAAAAAGCAAGCAAGAATATAGAATATATATTACAATCAATAGCACAAGTATTCAAACCACCAAAAATATTTTTAAAATATTTTTTAATGCTAGGGATTGAGCCCAGGCCTCATGAACATTAAGCAAAACACTTGACTACTGAGCTATATCCATTCCCAAAATTAATTCTTACAGCCACAATAATAGTCCTTTAACAATTTATTTCCTTATCTTCAGTAAACAGTGATCTTACTGATTAAGTTAGTTTACATTGCACAACTAATTTTCAGTTTGGTAATATACTATAGGGAGAAGAGCTTTCACTGACCTCGGAAAATCCTAGAAGAATAGCAATGAAATACTTCTGCAGTTAAACAATGGAATACTTTGTTAGCTGACATTTTCTTCCACTAAGTTACAATATGAATTTTAAGCTTTAAGCAATGGTAGAGTGGAACTGAAAGAAAGAAAGAAAGAAACCAAAGTGAAATAAATATAAGAACTAAATTTGAATTAAGAGCTTCTAAATGATTTGGAATATGAGATATAAATAAGAGGAAATCCTTTTCACAATGAACTACCCCACAAATCAAAGCTGACATTATACTTTCTTAGACCAAGCTAAGAAGTCTCTGTTGAGAGGCAACTTATAACACAGAGAATTAGTATATTTAGTTCAATAAACACTTTTGTACTGTAGTGTGTATATATATTTGGGGAGGGTTACTGGGGATTGAACTCAGGGTCTCACACATGCTAGGCAAGTGCACTTATCATTGAGCCACATCTCTGGCCAGCCCATTTTAAAATTTTTATTTTGGGACAGGGTCTTGCTAAATTGCCCAGGCTGGCCTCAAATTTCTGGTCTTCCTCCCTCAGCCTACCAATTAGCTGAGATTAAAGGCATGTGCATTGGCCTAGAGTTCCTATCATCATCAACATGCTTCAAAGGGAATGGAATTTTATACCCCTAAAAATCCTAAGAGTGATCTAAAATGAAGATTAAGTATGGGATAATATATTGCCCTTGGGATATATGTCAGTAACCAATTTGCAATGCAACATTTCGGCACTCACATACTAAATCACTGAGAAAATGCACAAGGATACTAACAGGAAATATAGTAAATACTACTAGAAAAAGTTTAAAGGTGTTTAAATGTGATGAGACAAATCTACATATCCAACTGAGAATCATGGTCTCCAAAGTTACACATTATTTACCATTACTGTTCCTTCGAAACTTATATGTCCCTTTTCAAAAAGTCTTAAATAATAAGAAATCTTAGTTGTCTGAAAAAGAATCTAATATTTGGCAAAAGGGTTGAAGTCATCTGGAACCAAGACAGGTAAATAAGGTAGGTAGAGGGCCATGGTAAGCTTCCAATTTTAAAAGATGAGATGAAAACTATATAGTACATGAGGTGGAGTGGCTGTGATGCCAGCAGCATCTCTGAAACAAATAAACAAAAAGTCTCTAGAGGCGACTCTTTGCCAGCAAGTACCACTGTGCAAGACTCTGCCATGGGACTTCTCCCAAGGGCCTCAGTTAGCCACAGGTGGTCTCTGCCAAGAAATTCCCCAAGCCACTCATAAGTCCCAGGTGGTTGCCCTCATTTCTGAATGGCCTTTAAATCAGAATGGTAAATCCCTTAGAATTTACACCCTAAAGATAATAGTCACATCTCTTATATGTTCCTATGTAGATTGAATGGATCCTTAAGAAAAACTTTTACAATTACTCTTTTTTTTTTAACAGAGAGAGAGAGAGAATTTAAATATTTATTTTTCAGTTTTTCGGTGGACACAACATCTTTGTTTGTATGTGGTGCTGAGGATCGAACCCGGGCTGCACGAATGCCAGGCGAGCAGGCTACCGCTTGAGCCACATCCCCAGCCCCCTACAATTACTCTTTAAATAAGCTGTATCTCCTTATGTAGGCAAACATTCTTATAATTTTCCTCATACTACTGAGGTCCTTTGGGTTATTTTGACATATGAATTCATCCTCAATTTATTTTTTCTACAGATTTGGTTTTCCCAATAAAAACCAAGTATGTTCCCTGGCATATAAGAATCTCAAAGGAGAGCAAGTATATAGACAAGGTCTATACCATTAAGACAGCATAAATGATACAAGACTAAGAAGGTAATGACCACATATGAAAAACCAATTCAAAAAGCAAAATATGATCTGTGAAGCACAATGATAATCTGGGAAAACAAAATGTACTCCTAGCTCGATTATAAACCTGCTGAATTTTAAACTTCTGTGGAGCTTATTTTAAAAAATAAAATATGCCACTTGTCATCCACAATTTCAAAAAGAACACTGAAAACACAAAAGAATGCAATAAATTACTCAAATGAAGTATTAAATAATTTAAAGGTGGTTCTATTCCCAAGCTTGACACTCCATCAACATTACTATACCTAGTTACTTAGTATAATTCTACTGGAGAAGAGGGGGACTGAAAACACCTTGTAGAGTTCAAAAAAGGGATATTGAAAGAGTTGCATATGGACCAAGACTGCTTCAAGGACCTATAGATTGAGATTACATACACTGGACACAACAACTTTACATAGCACCAGGGTGTTTTGTCGTCCACATAAATTTAACCTAGCTTTTCTTCCTTTAAAAACTTCAATCCAGACTTTCTTCTCTCCTAAGGAACCTGAGTTGATACAACAGCGGCTAAAGGGTACTGTATTAAGGTACTAGAATACGTGAGCAGCAGCAGGGAAGGAAGGGAGAGAGAGAAAAAACAAAAAAAAAAAAACTCCAGCAATTCAACAGTGGAAGCTTTTTAATGATGCAAGACTTAAGGATAGAGTCAATTTAAATATTTGACCTGTTTAACTTCTTTTCCCCTATGGGAAAATGTGGATAGGTATTTCAACTTTTCTATTTGATCGAAATTCAAAAAATGAGGACTTCATGTATGTGACTGTTTACTTAATGCTGAACTCAGGGATACAGGAAGTCAGCTACTGAAGAGTAGTTACATTAGGCATAGATATTTATAAACCATCTGCAGCGAGTGACCTAGGATTCAATTACAACATCAACCCTCACATTTCAGCGTATGGGCAAATTACTAGTCGAGTCAAGAATAAATTCATTCTGCCCTACTGGCGCTTTAGATCAGATTGCACAATTCCGGGGGCAAAACTGCCTTGCCTAGCCCTAAAGCATCAGGTACTATATAGTGCAGTAAGTTAGCATCGGGACATTAGACAGCACATACTCCAGAATTCAGGAGTTTGTCATGTCACTTGAAATCAAAGTGAAATTAAGTTTCTGTCCCTTTGAGATCTCTGAGCGCACAAAGTGAGGCCATCACTTCAAGGTGCTTGGTAGAGTCCAACTCTGGCTGGACAAAAACTATTTGATGGGGAACTTTCATCTTTTTAGTCCCCCGTAGCGGGCCTATCGGATGAAGAGCCCGAGCGCGAGTTTGGGGGCGCAGCGGGGCCTGGCGGGGGCGGCGAGCGCGCGTCCCCCCGCCCGCTCGGGCGGCGTCGAGGCGCTGGCAGCTCAACCAGCCTTGCAGAGGGAGCTCTCGGCAGCTCTGGGGTCCCTCTGCTCGCAGCCGCAGCAGCGCCGCCTGCGCCACTCGGCGGAGACGGAGACCAGCGGCGGTGACGCGCGGACCGGGAGCGACTGCCGAGCAGCCGAGCGGCTGGGGACGCACGCAGGGCAGCCGGTAGGTTCCGGGACCGGACAAACTGGAGGATGGGTAATTTGAGACGCGTCGGCCGGGACCAGACACCCATACGGCACCGGGATCCGGCTGCGCGCGCGGCGGCAAAGGGTCCAGACCCTGGAGTTAACCGGGCGCGGAAGCCGGGGCGCTGAGAACGAGTCTCGGCTGAGGCCACCCGCCGCGGGAGGGGCGGAGGACAGAGGGCGGGCCGTGGCCGGGCGATCAGTCGGGCCAAGAACCGGCCTCGAGGGCAGAGACAAAGGAAGGAAAATGGAGTCTCCGAGCGCGCGGGCCTCTGTCGCCGCCGCCGCCGCCCGCGGCCTAGCGTGCGCCAAGAGGAAGGCCTAGCAGGCGGGCGTGGAGGGGGGGCCGGGCCGCGGCGGCGACGGGCAATGGCGGCGGCCGCGCCGCAGCAGGGACGGTAGAGGGAGACAAACACCCCCCGGCGGCGGCGCTGGCGCCGGGCTGCAGCCAGCGCCGACCGGAGCGGCCCCATCGTGACACCTAGAGGCGGCCCGCGAAACCTCCTCCACCCCGGGCCCCCTTACCTCCGCGCCACACCCCCCGCGGCGCCCGCTCCGCCGCCGTTCCACCGCTCCGGCCACCCGGCGTCCCCGGCCAGCTCCGCGCGCCCGCACCGGCTACCGCTGCCGCCGCTGCCGCCAAAGAAGCAGCTCCGCGCACGGTTTAATCGCTCCACAGGCTCGGACACAAAATGGCGGCGGCGCGGTGCAGTGCGCCTGCGTCGGCGCTGCCGGGGCCGCGGTGCTGATAAGGGAAGGGACGGGTGGGGGGGGCCGGCCGGGCGGCGAGTGGAGGGCGGGGGAGGAAAGGTGAGGGGAGGGGTTGGCGCAGGGCAGCATGGGAGGCGGCCCCGGGCGCCAACTTTCAAAAGCGGGCGCGATGGCGTCACGGGACGCGCCGCGAGTCGCGTAGTCACGCCGCTCGCGCCCTCCCGCGCCCTCGCTCGGTCGCGCGTGGGCTCTGCCGGCGCCGTGGAGTCCCGGCTCCTGCTGGGTGGAGCTTCCTGTGCGGAGGCCGCCTCCTCTGGGCGGTCCTCGATCCTGATCTATTTGACCTGGTTCGGCAGCTATCTTCTGCCCATTAAATCCGTAAAGGTTTGGGGGAGTGGGGATTCCTGGAGGAAGCTCGCGCGGGGCGGGACCGTGGGGCTGAGGCGGCTCCTGGGCCCGGCCCCGCCCAGTCTCCGCCTCAACCGGGCTCCATCCGCCCTCCGAACGCCACACAGGCCCGCCTCTGAGTAGAGACCGGCAGGTCCTCGCGCGTCCTGTAGATACAGTCCAGCGTCACAGGGCAATGGCAAGAAAAGCTGTTATTGCTCAGTGGCTTCTGAAGTTCTCTCCCTCCTAGAACAGGCTCTCCTAAAACCGGGCCTCCTGTGGATGTCCTCAGCCCGGAGAGGCAGCGGAAGACCAGACTTAACGCTTTTACATGACCCCAACAGTCGTCTTTTGCAGAAAGGACTTTCTGTATTGGTGCGATGTAATTCTGTTTCTGTTTTTTTTTAAATGTGCGTATTTTTGCCTGAGAACTATTAAGTTCCGTGTGGGCGGAGTCCTTACCCCCCCTCCTCCCCACGAGGTTCCTTGCCCAACCAGCGACCAGTGAAGTTGACCGAGGCAGATTGCAAGGTGTTTTGGTGGTTCTGGCAGGAGACCCTTCTGATATTGCAGGAATGTGACTCATATCTAAATCCCCTTGCCTTAGACATCGCAGATAACAAATGCACCCAATGTCAAGGAAGTGGCTTCTGCTCCATCCAGCTGATTGCTGTTGTGAGAATACTCGCCCCAAGTTGACATACTGTTTTTCCCCCTAAAGAAATCAAAACCCGAATTTTAAAAAATGTAAAATTTCCAGATTTTTAGATCTTGGCAACTAAATCAGATGTTTTAAAACTTCATGACTGATTCAACCACACGTGTGGGCTTGGACCCATGACTTGGAGGAAAGAGAGAAGTTCAAAGACCAAGTTCTGGGGCACTCCTACATTAGAGAGAGGCTAATGGAGAAAGAAGTTGATAGGAAGCAACCAGAAAGACAAGGAGATCTAGAGTGTTGAGTTGTGGAGTCCAAGGGCAGAAATGGTTTCACACATAGCAGAAGCAGCAGCATCTGTCCAGTGCTGCTGAGAGTTCTGGTTAACTTGGGCCAGAGGCATGGCTATTAAATTGGTTACCTTGATGGTCGCTGGAGAATCATTGGTACCTTGGGCTGAGTCACATTGGGTCAATTGAGGATATCAACTGACTAGTATGGGTTGATGATTGAACAGAAAAGTGAAGGATTAAGAGACATCACCTGTAGGCAACTTGAGAGACATTTTCTGTGAAGCAAGCAGAAAAATTTAGGGATCATTGTAGAAACATGAGGTCAAGGGAAAGGGTTTTGTTTGTTTGGGTTTGTTTGTGGGTGCTGGGGATCCAACCCAGTGCCTTGCACATGCTTAGACTAGTGCTCTACCACTGAGCTCCACCTCCAGCCCACAGGAAATGTTTTAAAAGATGGTAGGGGCTGGTTGGGAGGGGTACACACCTGTACTCTCAGTGACTTGGTATGAAGAGCTTAAGTTCTAGGCCAAGCTGGGTGTGGTAGTGCATGTAATCCCAGCAGCTTTGGAGTCTGAGGCAGAATCGCAAGTTCAAAACAAGCCTCAGCAATTTAGCAAGGCCCTAAGCAACTTATTGAGACCTTGTCTCTAAATAAAATATAAAAAAAGGATGGGGATGTTGCTCAGTGGTTAAGCACCCCTGAGTTTAATCCCCAGTACCAAAAGTGTGTGTGGGTAGCGGAGGCGACAATATGTTCTAGGCCAGTCTCAGTAATTTTGCAAGGCCTTAAACAACTTAGTGAGACCCTGTCTCAAAATAAAAAATAAGGGCTATGGATGGATGAAGCTCAGTGGTAAAGTGCCCCTGGATTCAATCCCCAGTACCAAAAAAAGAAGAGATGGGACCGGGTTCTTGAGCATGTTTATTCATTATTGGAAGTGCTACAGTGGACAAGAAGGTAGAGTAATACAGGAGAGATCTGTGCTTGACCTACAGAAGACTGAAATCTATTGGAGGATTTTAAGGAACAGGGAGAATTGGCCTTGGATAGGAACAGGGATGTTTCCACTGATAATAAGGGTAACCAAAGTAAAGATGGTTGCAAATGCAGGGGAAGTGTAAAGCAAGTCTTTGATAGGACTTCCTTAGTGGTATTGGGTACCAATTTAAGTTTTGTGATTGTGAGTTTAAAAAGTTAAAACAGGGTGAGGTTGTAGCTCAGTGGCAGAGTGCTTGCCTAGCATGCGTGAGGCACTGGGTTCGAACCTCAGCACCACATAAAAATAAATAATTAAAGGTATTGTGTCCATCTGCAGTTTAAAAAATCTAAAAAAGTTAAAACAGATGATCTGGTGCATGGTTTTGTTTTTAAGTGATGCGGGGGATTGAAGCATCACAGGGCTGTGAGCATGCTAAGCAAGTACTCTACCACTGAGCTACATCCCTAGTCCCCAGTGTATGGTTTTTTTTTTTTTTTTTTTTCTCTAGCAACAATCAGCTGCTTGGGTGCAGACATGAAGAAATTGGTTTCTCAACACCCATACCTAAGTTTTGTTTTTTTTTTTACTTCTAATCCCAATTGCTTGTTTTAGATTAGATACTATTCTAGAAATATGCGAAGTATTTGGGGGGAGGGGAGTACCAGGGATTGAACTCAGAGGCACACAACCACTGAGCCACATCCTCAGCCCTGTTTTGTATTTTATTTAGAGACAGGGTCTCACTGAATTGCTTAGCGTCTCACTGTTGCTGAGGCTGGCTTTGAACTTGTGATCCTACTGCCTCAGCCTCCCCAGCTGCTGGGGTTACAGATGTGCGCCACCATGCCTGGCTGTGTGAAGTATTTTTAAAAATGTACTTGACTTCTCTTTGCTATAAACCAAATTTTCCTAACTATCTATTATGTACACGTTAGGACGCAAACATTAAAAAAAAAAAGGCCAATTTATAGAGGAAAATTACTAGACAGATATCTCTGGGATATTGGGATATTTACATTTTATATTCTCTGCTAAAGAGACTAGTGTCAAGAAGTAGACTTGAAACTTAGGTACTAGACACAGTAATAATGCTGACTTGTATTTAAAATCCCAGTGACTTGGGAGGCTGAGGCAGGAAGGTCACGAGTTTGAGGCCAGCCTCTGCAACTTAGCGAGACCCTATCTCAAAATAAAAAGGGCTAGGGATGTGGCTGAATGCTTAAGTGCCCCTGAGTTCAATCCCTGGTACCAAAAAATAAAACATTAGCTTTGGTCTGGGGATATGGCTTCATATTAGAGTACTTACCTAGCATGCATGAAACCCTGGGTTTGATCCCTAACATCACAAAAATAAATAAATGAATCCTTAGCTTCTTTTTCTTTTAGTACCTTTCTTTAACACTTTGCTTCAAATCATCTTTTTTGGGAGGGCAGGGTACCAGTGATTGAACTCAGGCATTCAACCACTGAGCCACATTCCCAGCCCAGCCCTATTTTGTATTTTTTATTTCTAGACAGGTCTCATTGAGCTGCTTAGCGTTTTGCTTTTTTTTTTTGCTGAGGCTGGCTTTGAACTTCCAATCCTCCTACCTCAGCCTCTCAAGCCACTGGGATTACAGGTGTGTGCCACCGCACCCAGCACTTCAAATCATCTTAATGGTAAGCTACAAGGCTTTGTGGGCAAAGATAAGGTAATATATTTTGGAGAGAAAAAAACTCAACTATGTTTGTAACCTTATGTTATATTAACTATTTACAACTATATGACCTCTGAAGCATCAGTTAAAAGCCAGGAATAAAGTCTAAGTGGCTTTGGAGTGTGCTTTCTGAAGACAAGAAACTTATGTGCTTCTCTGAGAAAGGGCTAAAAAAAATGGTGAAAATTACTAGGAAGAACCATAAGTGTATGTTTTCTTTTCCCTATAGGAAATCCTGATGTGCCCTACTT